GGATGGACTCCTTAGATGCGAGGTCACGTCCCTTAATTAGATAAGCCGTCAAACCATCTCCAGCCGAGATCGCTGAACTCGTCGTGTGTGGTTGACGCTAATATTGAGTTCGCCTTTCACCGGAATCATCGTCATATCGGGCTACCCATCGGTCCATCTGCACGTCGGTCGGTCTGCTCGTCCGTTCGCTCGCTCGCTTGTCTGTCTGATACCCGGATCGTTCGCGGACAGTTGTCCGCTGAGTTAGTCGTTCGGTCTGATTGTCGAGACAATCGTTCGATTATTTGGACAGCCAGTCAGCCGCCAGGCTCAGGGTTCATCGGTTGGTCGAAAAGTCGTCCTATCGCCAGGGCTTTGTCCACAGAGAAGGGAGCAGCCGCTAGCAAGACGTGGGGTTCCGCAGCAGTTTTCTTCCAACGGAGACAGAAGTCAACCACTCTGTTATGGTACAGTACTGTCTCGATGTTCCATCATCGTCTGTTGACTGTCAGTCCCCACGGCTGACTCTCTTGTTTGCGCTGCGAGCTGCGATGTCGACCGGAGTCGGGTGCATCCATTCGCCGCAGCGAGCGGGAGCCTTTCAGGCGCAATGAGCTCACCGCGAATTGCGCCCCTCCTCGGCTACACTGTCTCTGGTGAGTGAGAATCGACTCCCGTACGAGCTGTCGGCTCCATTCACCTGTCCATCCGTCGGGAGGGGCTCGGAGGAGCGGAACATTCTGATGTCGAAAAGCGAGCATCAGATCAGAAAGCCGCCTCGACCATTAGGCATTAATCATTGCCGAGTTCCCGCGTCAGTCATCGCGCACTTAGTACATACGAAAACACTCATCGTTCAAAAGAGACGACGACAACAAGAGGCCGATACTAGGCCCGGAGAGCATCCAACTCTGCTCGGCGAACTCGTATTCATCTTACGGGTCGGCAAGAGTCAACGGACGAAATACGGTCGAAGCCATACCGGGATCGAGCAGGGATTATACGTCTCCGGAAACGGGACGAATAGATGAATAGCCGGGAGGGTCGTCAAGAAACGTCGTCCTTATCGTTTTTGACGTTTTCGCCTTGTGACAACAACACTGTTGACGGTCAGATACGTCAAGGGACGACGACACGGCAAAGATGAAAGAGTTCGGATTGTAAGCTTGCAAGCGCGAGCTCTGAAGCGTGACACATCCGTTGTTGATTGCAACGTGAGAGGAATGTTCCATGCGGCTGAGTGGAGTGGCGACGACGGAAAGACAATGCCCCGAGCCAAGCTGCTCGCCGGCAACCGAAAGGCTTTCGGTCTCCAGTTTCTACTTCAACTTCGTCAGACTCCGCCGAGTAAGTTGCCGACTCCTCCCGCCGCGAACTCGAGCTCACTCGACGGCCACATCGTCATTCTTGTGGGCGCGACCATGAAAGGCTCAATACGAACATTACTCCCACCGTCGGCGTCGCAGCCACGGTCGGCCGCTCTTCGTTGACCGGTCGACTTCTGATTCACTGGGATAAGTTCGCGTCGTCGCCATTGAGCTACTCTGTCGATTTCCTAGTCGATCGCTTTCCTCGGTGACGGCGCCGCGCCAGCGTCACCGAGGTAATTCGTAATTCGCTCTCTGTCGCAGAAGCTCTCCGTGGTGATTCTGTCAATGGTCGGAAGTGTCGCGTATCGGCTCATTCATCAAATCAGGACGGAGGGCGCCCAGAGCAAATCGCCCGCCTGATTCAGTCCGAGAGAGGCGGAGAGTGAGACGTAAACGTTGGGGGACGGAACGTAAATATAATGTCATGGTGATCATATGTCATCATATTATGTCTGACCCTCTCCGTCGTGGAAATGCGTCGTGAACTCAATCGATGGACGATGCGCGATTCTACTGTTTATCGTTGTCTCCTTTATCGAGCCGGACTCCTTGCGACTACCGAATTCTCCCACTTCCCGAAAAAGAGCCTGATCGACAGACGCACGCTACGCGTCCTTTAGTCCGCATTGTCTCCCGCTTTGGGACAAGCAGAGTATGTGGTATTTCGAGCGGAGACTTTATTCAGATGGGCTCGCTCAAGGTCCAAGGCCGTCTCTGCGGACGTCTTGTCGACGAGAGGACTCTCTCACGGAACGAGTCTTCGTCATTTGGGGACAACTGCTCTATCCGAGTACGGATATCCTGAATCAGAGCATACTGATGGAAACATGCGGAGAACCATTCGGTCTACGATGGCCTCTTCCAAGCCTTGCAGCAGATCCGCTCGAGGGAAGCCTCGACCGTTCCCTGGAGCGCTTATTGCAACCCCTCCCACGAAAAAGGTCCGTTCAGTGGAAAAAAAACGCGACAGATAGAAATCGGCGGAGCGAGAGAGCGAAATCATTAAAGACCTCCTTCTCCGGAGTTCCCATTCTTGTGAGTGTAAATCTTCCCGCCGTCGAGAGCTCCGACGTTTTTTTCTCATCCACGACAGCTTGAATGCCCGGGGAATCCCCTGCTTTCGACCGAGCGGGCGTCGACCTCTTAGAAAACCCGCATGGAAGACCTTTCTGACCTTAAATGTTGGCAACTTTGTTGCGAAAGTTCGAACGAGAGCGCTCAGAGAATCTACAACCATTGTGTCACCACCGCCGTCTGTTTCATTTTTTCTCGACGCCTCTTACTCTGCTCGGTCGGGAGGCAACTCCTGCCTGTGCTCGGGCGTTCCTGATTAATACCACGCTGGCTATTCGATTTGAAGACTCCGGGCGTTTTAGCAGAGCGCGTCTGCGGGTTTTTGAGCGATCATCGCTCGGGTAATGCCCGAGACATTGTGTCTACGGGTCTGTGGGAATCCGCAACAGAGGCAGAATTGCCGTCGGCCATATTTATTGACTCGTGCGCCGCGCCGTCCACAGATGGTCACAGATCAGATGGAATCGAGGCAGCGACCTTTACACGATTCTCCAGCGTGAGTGAGTGCTCGATACGAGCTCGAATGAGCCGTGAATGTTTCGGCCGACTTTTCGTCCCAAAATCCCATGGGAACCTAAGGGATAAGTGAGCGGCCAGCTTCCGCGCAGGATCTATGTGCTCCATTCTCGGATTAGCTTTGTTGAAGTGTGAGAGCGAGTCGGAATCCCGTGGAAAATCGAAAGGGAAAACTTCGTAGATTGGTTGGGTGAGCGGGTTTGCCTTGAAGGTTTCAAAACTTCCTCCTCGTGTATCAGATCGCTTCGGGCCCGAAAGTTCTCCACTCACGTCGTCCCGTGGGGAATCGTCTAAAACATTAATTATTGTCCCCGAACTCAATCCCGAGCAGGATCGGAAGGTCATCGGATCTTTTGTCATCCGCAAAATCGGGAGAGGACTTTTTGTTTCCCTCCCCTCGAATATCACACGGGAGACACATTTTCCAAATCAGAACCCGAGAGACGGGCGAGAGTGTCCGTGATCCTGAACCGTTTTCGAGAAAGAACGATGTTCCACCCGATTTTCCCTTCCCTAGAGCGGCTAGCCGGCCGTGCGAGCTCGGAGCGCAAACCTTCTACGAGTCGACAGACCCGGAGCGCAATCCGTCTATTTTGGAACGCGGGGATCGCGTGACTTTCGCACAAGTGAAAATTGAATATTACAACGGACGCCCTTCGAGACTCGGAGTGAGCTTTCGAGCTCACCGAAGAGCGATCAAGCCAGTGATTCGGGGTTGTGGGTGTTCGCGACAATCATAGTTTCGGTAAGAACATGCCGAATCGTCATCTACCGAAGTTTTCGATTTTTCTGTTCCTTCATCGACGGTCATGCTCTTATGTGTTCCTTGACGGCCCAATGCCTGCGTCGAGAAGAAGTTTCTCTTCAGCAGAGGGCGAAGTAAATGAACGATAGAACGATCAGAATTGGACGGATTTCAACGGGGAACTGCGATGGGGGCTCTCCTAAATTTGAGCATCAACACAAACGTGAATCAGAGTTCTCAGTCGAGAACCGTCCTGATCGTGAAAAAGTAAATCGCATCGCTTATGGGAATGGGCCTCTCCGTTGCAAGCTTGTATTGCAGTCGCACTCGATCAAAACGAGACCTGCAGGACACAATCAAGCCAGATCGATTGATCGATCGAATCCATTTATTATTCATCGCTGAATCTCGACGGGACTCATTTGCCTCGGCGAGCTAACACCGTGTAACTTGCGCGGTATCCAGAAGCTTCTGCTTGTCGGGCACATACAGTTCGTCTGTTAGCGAGCGTGAAAATTGTGCTAGTGGTCAAATCAATCGAAAAGCAATCTAGTAGGCAGCGGTGAAATATTCAGTAACTTGTTACTTCAGCAAGTTATCCGAAAAAAGTGTTCCTGATAAGAATTCAGGAATGAGCGATTCGGAGACTCGTGCTGACAATATTCTCTCCGTTTGATTCCAGGTGCTTCGTTGGACATAAATTCAAGTTGGAACGAGAGGAGCGCAGTCACTGATACCTATCCAATCAGTCCTTGTTCACCTCCACACCTCGACAGCCACCTTTCAGCCACCAAGTTACCAACAACTTATCCTACCTTAACTCCTGTGGTCAAACCTTATCCAGATCCCACCCGACTAATCAGTGATGGCTGCCTTCATTGCAAAGCAGATGATGGGCAATCAGCTCAATGCCGTCAAAGGTGAGTTCAAACATAGACCTGGAGAAAGTTTTTTTCAGCTCCCAACCGCGAAGACTGGAAATATTCGGAGACTTTTCCCCGGAGACGGAACCCTGTGCTCGGTTTTTTTCGGTTGGGGGGCGGCAGACGAAGCTCAAATGTCCTATGGAAACTCAAAGCCAATGCATCTATCGGTCTACCGGCCCGTCGACTCTGATCTTGACCTAAGTCGTTGTCGTGAGCACCAGGTCTGAAACCGCGAAAACAGCGAGCCGAACGTACTTACGAGGAAACGCTGGGTGGCGTCCATTCAGACGAGGCCAAAACAGACGGACGGAGCGACGGGCTGCCTGCCTGCGTGCACGCACATCCACATCCATCCATACATATACACACACACGTACTTACGTACATCGGACGGGCCCATCCGGAGTCTGTTCATCGACGTCTATCTATACGTAAATAGAGAACGAGTTAGAGAAGGAGACCTCGAGTGGTGGCTCGCCCCGGAGCCGCCTGGGAGACGGTCGTCTCGCTCCCGGCCCTTATTTACTCAACAAAATACGCCGAATCAACCAACGGACCTACCCACCAGCCAACCAGGGACCGTCGGTCGACAGCCCGGTCGGTAGATAGGAAGTCCCACACTCGGCTCTGGTTGGAACGTGTGTCGAATCCTCAAAGTGAAACGGCTGTCCTCTGGTTTCGCAGGATCTCGTCGGCCGAATGGACAATCGGACTGCGTCACCTACCCATACGGCGGCGAGACAGGGGTACGAGTGCGGGATCGACCGAAGAAAACGTATCGTGATTTTTCGAAACTCGTTGCACTGCTCGGATGCAGTCGCTCTCTCTCTCTGTTTCTCTATCGCAGAGTTAGAGGACGGTGGTCCTTCGAGTTCACGTCGCGTCATCACCGATGACGTGGATGATACATATCTTACGGCTCGTTAGAGCTCGGTAGCCACTGCGGATGCGGTTTGTCCCCGAAGGGTCCTGGCTACTGGTCTCCACGCCGCAAACTGTTGTAACGACCGAGCGGCTGACAGAATGGACCACTCCCGCAGCAGAACCCTCTGGGTCCGACTCGACCACCCGCCGGTACTGTCGCCCGAATGCGGGTACGTCTACGACAACTGGCCAAATGGAGCGGTTGCGTGTCTGGGTTTGCTCATCGCCCAGGGTTAGATTGTACTTCGACACGCAGTTGTCGTTATTGGCTCGAGGCGGGCAGGACAACGTCCCCGTTCGGCAACTGAGAGCGGGGAAGTTGAATACGAACGGGGCTAAAAGTATCCGCAGGCCTGTCGTTAGAAAGTGGTTTGGAGCTGGAAAATGGCCGGGCGACGCTAACGACGATGGAGCGATATCGTACGACCGAAGGAGCCTCGGGTCAGTCTGATACGACGGATAATCTCCGAGCATTAGACGCTTCGGGCCCAATTAGGTATCAAGGATTCCCGATCAAATGAGGGACCACAAGAGCACAATTATTGTTTCTATTCACGGAGCCTACTCAGGGAGCCCGGGGCGGGAACTTGGGGGTTCGCGCAGTCCAGAAACGACGCAGAAGGACGGGAGGGACACCGATCGTCCCGAATACAATTTTCCCAGAGGAACCCGTCACCAGACCGAACAGGCAGGAAAACGGCGAGATCAAGGGAATGAATACTTCTGTCAATTCGTCGCTGCGCGAGGGGGAGATCGAGCTCCCCGAATGTGGCTCGCTCGACTTACTCGGTGACGTCTAATGCGGACACCAGAGCCAAAGCTGAGAATCCGGTGGTGGTGGACGCACACGTGCAACGATCTCGATCAGTATTCAGATATCGCCGGTGAAATGCACTTATTGTGTAGCCGGCTCACATACGCAACACGGGAATCCCACCGAAAACACTCTCGACGGACTACTCGCTCCGTCGTGTCGTTTCTGGATCGCTTGCTTTTCCGAGCAAATAGCCCAGTTGCGTGGTCGTCCCGCATAAAGATCTGAACGAATTATTTCGTCCATCATAGCGAGTTCCCGTTGGATCCTGAGCAAAACGGCTAAAGCGAGCCTCACGGACTCGGACGGCTCACTAGGGAAGGGACGAAAGGATGGGCACTTGGCTCCAGACAGTCTGGCGTCTCAGTTGTTCGGTGAGCTGCCCGCAGACAAGCGGGCGTCGAGGCTGCGCTGCAATGGAACATTGAGGACTCACTCCGGACTCATCCGCATCCAGACTTTGAATTCCACATCGCGCCGCTTCTACAACGTCACTGCCACGACGCAATCAGTCGTCGCGGATCTCTGTGCTATGGAAGCGCGATGAGGACCATCGATACGCCTCCAAAGCTCAAGCTGTTTACCATCCCAAGCCCCATTGCCCGGACTCCTATCGTTCCGATCATACTTTCGAATTCTTTGATATGACCAGCAGGAGCAACGAAATTCTCCAAATAACTTGAGCCACGACGTGCATCCTGGCCGGACGCTCGAATCCAAGATCGGGAGGATTCGATCCGAGAAAGGAGTAGGAGCCCCGGACAGACCAGATTGAAGCGGTAGTTAGAACAATGTCACCTTCGATGGAAGCGTCGGAATCAGCTGGATGTTGACCTCGACCGGCTGATCTGACAGTGAAACGGAGGAATTGGAGGAGGTCGTCATGTTCTTTGTGCCCCTTCCTCTCGATAAAACGGCTGTAAGTCGGAAGGTTCTCGAAGCTCAAACCGAGCCATAATTCACCGCCGTCGTGGAGCGTCCTCTCCTCTGCGCTCGCTACGAAAGAGAAATGACGAGACAATCTATCGCTGATCTGCCCTCTGTTTTCCCGGCCTTTGTTTTTTTTCCTCAAGTCCGTCTCTGAACTTCGATCCGATCCTAGAGTTCAGATACTTTTTCCCATTGCCGTCCGTCGTTCGGTCCACACACCGCCAGTCTGGCAAGCCACCAAACAAGGAAGGAGTAGTCGAGCTCGAAAACAGTATCCAACTCTCGGCTGCGGACACCGACGGCTGTAACGAGGCTCCCGAAGCGGCGCCCGAATTCCTGGCACCGAGGTGAGCCAGAGGCCATCGACATCATTGACGAGCACGTCGGGGACGACGACGGAACGACTATGGCACTCGTGGCGCCATCTTGGCAGACCGCATCCACCACTGGTTTCTCCTTCCGTCGCCTGCTGTGATTGAACGTCTAGCAAGCCTAATTGAGTCTGAGGGTCAAGCTCCGAGTGCTCATGAAGTGCGCTCCTGGGGTCAGCTCCCGTCATCAGCGACAACAACAACAACAACAACAGCCACCACCTGACGTCGCGGCACAGCGATCTGATGCAAGGCGCGCGAAAAAGACCCGAAAAACTGTCGGTCGGAGGAGTTTGACGAAGTTTGCATACGAAAGAAAGACAACGATCCGACAGGAGCGCCTTCCGGGAGAAGAGGATATGAGAACAGATAGCGGGAAGGAGGAGACAAGCGAAAATATGTAGAGGAAGAGAGCGGAAGGGGAATAATTCTCGGAAGCCGAAGGGACGAGCGGGTGATGGCAGACAAGCGGAAGAACACAATAGACGAGAGGGAGAAACCTCAGCTATTCCCTCGCGGAACTTATCTGCAGTCACTTGCATTCCCTCTTTTGCTTGTTTTTACCTCATCGTCGTCGTCTTCTTCTTCTTCATTTCACTGAGCTCCATTCTCTCTCAGCTCCACTCCGCAAAACCAGTCCGTCCCCTCCTCTCCCCTCGCTCTGCTCTTTGTTGACTCGTCCCTGACACCCCGCGTTCTGATTCCTCCCCCCCTCTTCTGGACCCCCTCCCCTGTACTCTTCCTTTATTCTCTTTTCCCGGGCTCCGGACACCCATTCCCCAGTTTTAGTCGCCTCGAGCTCGTCCCACATCTCTTGCCTACAGCCAGCCTGCGGTCCCCGGTGGGCAATTATTGTCTACAAAATGAGAGCCCGCCGAGCGAAGGAGCTCGCTGGCTGGCCGGCTGGACTCTTAATCTGCCACCCCGGGCGAGCAGTCCGTCTGGCGAGTTTACTGGACAGACAGTTCAGCCCGGGGCTCATGCCTCTCCATGGAGCAAGGAAAATGAAAGACAGCGCGAAAAACGACTGGAGGAGGAGCCGAAGTCACTGAGCAACTGTGTGAGATGCAGACCGCGTTCCTCGATCTTGTGTCTCGCCGGCTCCTTCTAATGGACGAATCTTGTTATGGCGGAGCGCTCCGGTCAGCTTGAATCCGCTTCTATTATTTGGCCCCTCGTCCGACGGTCACTCTTCAAGCCCATTATTTGGCTTTGAGACTTCATCTTTTCCAACGAGCGGTTCTCGTCCGGCGGAGAACGCCCGGAGCTCTTCTCTTGCCGAATTTCGGGTGTTTCCAGTCCGCACAGAGGAACTCGGTGCAACTGGGTGATGTCATGAAACGAGATTTTTGTGTTGAGCCAGCTCGCGTGGATCGATGAATTTGTCGATCACGCTCTCCCACGGATCGAGACACTGCCCGGCGATACCAACACGACGGCGATACGTTACGCGGCCCCCTCCGGTCAACCTGCCTTCCGTCTGTGTGTCGAGTGACTCTGGCGACCATCCGGCCGATCAGGGCGAATCGCCATAGCCGTCCGGGGTATGATAATCCCGGATGGAGGAGCCCATGCAGCTTGGTCTGAGACATTCCGTAGGAGGGTGCTCTTCTCCATCGTGCGAGGCATAATTCTTCATTCACGACCGGATAAAAGTGGCTCCTCCGGGACCCGTTGAAAGTTCCTCCCATCAGCTCTGCGTCAGCCTCGGCTGCTCCTTTGAGGAATTTCGGGGGGAATGAGGGAGCCTCGTTCGACGATGGAAGTCTGCCCCGGAAGCGACTCCGAGATCAGAGTGTTTCTTCCCTCGCCTTCCGTGTACCTACGCTCTCCCTGACGCCATGCAACCGTTCTCACCCCTTCTCGAGCCCTTCTGAAATTCTCCTCGTCGTCTACATTTGCCGCCTGCCTCGCTGACAACTCCCAGACCCTCGAATTCACTCCGCAGCTCTGGC